GCTTCACCTTATCTCCCTTTAGCTCTTGGATCTTCTGAGGCAGGGTCTTGGTCCAGAACTGCAGCCTGTGTGCCTTCAGGGCCTGGCCCACAGCAGGCTGGATGTCCAGCTGCAGGTACTGCTGGTCCTGGTCGAACAGTGGCCAGTGGGGCAGGCCCTCTCCGTTGGGGTTCCTGTGCACATGCCCTCCCAGCAAGGCAGGGCGAGGGTCAGTCTGAGCTCTGTTGAATTCAGACCTGACCTCCCATCCCTGTTTAGGACTGGCCAGGCATCCAGGCAGGCGGGGGCTTTGAGAATGGGTAAAATTTTCCTGATGTAGGAAAGTAATGGCCTCTCACTAGTGTTGTTCTCCACAGGGCAGGGCAACCTGGTCTGTTTGGCCGTTCCTTGTGAGAGGCTGGCTCTTATGGTAACCCAGCACTATGGCTCACTCTCCTGGCCACCATGAGAGTGCACCCACAAAGCAACCTCTTTCAGAGCAGGCCTTCGTGTTGGAGAGGGAGCTCGGATGTGGTTAAGGCCACATGTGTGTTAATGAGATCACCTCAGACAAGGGGAGCAGTGGAGGACCCGTGCCCCGCTGGGAGGCTGAGTGTGCAGGTGTCCTCACCCATTTCGAGCAAAGTTGGCCCAGTACTTCATCATCCTCCTGCTCAGCAGCTCCTCCTCCTCACTGAACTCAACTGTGGAAGGAGGAAGACAAGGGTCCAGGTCCTGGCCAACCCTGTCCACTCCTGTGCCACATTCACCACCCCAGCCATAGCCTGAATCGATCCAAGGCCTGGGTCCCTTCCATTATAGTTGGACCTGAAGTGTCCCCCAAGGCTCATCTGTTGAAGGCTTGACCCCCAGCTGGTTGCACTGTTGGGAGGTGCTGTAAACTCTATGGACGTGACCTAGTTGAAGAGGTGGGTCACTGGGGGCATGCCTCTAAAGGTGTATTTTGTTCCTGGTGCCTGTATGTATTTCATTCTTTCTCCTCCTGACTGTCATGATGTGGGCAGCTCTGTTCCACTACTAACTCCCTGACAGGATGTCCTGTCTCTCCACAGACCCAGAATCAATGGAATCAAGTGACCATGAACTGAAACCATTGAAATTGTGAGCCAAAATAAAATCTTCCTCCTTTAAGTTGAATATCTCAGGTATTTTGTCACAGAAGGCTCGACTAATACACCTTCCTTACCCCAATATCCCTGGGGGACAGCCCCTCCCCTTGTCCAGCTTGCCCTTACTCATTCCAGCCTCTAGCTGAATTGTTCCTGGGCCATCTGGATCCAGAGGGCCCCCTTTTCCTTCTAAAACTGTGAGGTCATCTGAGAAACAAATATGCCATTTAAGTACCTTCCTCTGTACCCACTATGGACACCATGGTTGGGGCGGGGCAGGTTGAGGGAGCACAGGCTGGAGTGGTGGGGCTCAGATTCTAATTAGGGACATCTTTTGAGCTATGAGTTGGTGAACACCTGATTCTCTTTCTGAGCCTTAGTTTCCTTGTGTGGACCCCACTGGTACACATTTTCTGGAGAACAAAGACTCACCTTGCTTGCCCCAGAAAAAGGATCTGAAGATAAAGAGAATCTCATCACCGTGGTCGGCCTTCACATGGGGTGGCTTGATGTCCTTAAAAAAGTCAGGTCGATGCTGGAACTCGTAGAAGTAGACAGGGGCATGGGAACCTGGGGAATGGGGGTGGTCAGGCAGTGATAAGGTGACCCCTTACCTGGAACTCCCTTCTGAGTCACCCTTGGTGACAAAATACATAGGTCCAAAGCTGACTTTAACCTGGACAGTGAAATGGGGAACCCCAGGGTAGAGTTGAGGCCATTGAAGGGCCTTCAATAAATCATGGCCTTGGACTCTCTAGCTGTGTGATTTTGAGCAAGTCAYTAACTCAGGCTCCTTGCCTATAAAATAGGGTAGTTGTCTGTCACTTATACTATCCCTCAGGATTTGCTGAGATGAGGACTATCAAGTGCTTGGTATCAGGGGCCTGATAAAGACTAGTTCAGGACCTAGACATCACAATCTTCCTGTTCTCCAGACACCAGAGCTCTAAGTTGCCCTAGGCCATCAGGAGTCAGGTACAGATATACTCACTCTGAAAATGTGCTACTTGGAGTGCAGGGATCACAAACATTAAGTCCTCCATCATTTCCTGGAACTGGCCTTGAAGAGTATCTGGGTCTTCATTGTCTCCCATATACTCCTCCATCAACAGGTCACCAAATTCAGCAGGCAACATCTAGCCCAGAGGGATTGGGGAGAGTCCTGTTAGGCAGGCACTGAGGAAGGGACACAGCAGCTTAAGGGTGGAGAGATGGAATCTGGGATGGGTCAGGGCATAAGGCAAAGCTGTCAAGCTGTGGGKTGATCCCACTCACAAATGCACACAGAGATCAACCTTTGTTGCCGGAAGTTGCCTCATGGGAAGGATATCTGGGGGTATCCTCTCAATATTTTTGGTACTGGTGATTGAATGCTTTACCACTGAACTACATCCCCAGCCCTTCTTATTTTTTTATTTTGAGGTAGGGTCTTGCCAAGTTGCTGAAGGCTGGCCTTGAACTTGGAGTCCTCCTGCTTCAGCTTCCTGAGTCACTGGGATTACAGGGATACTACACCTTGATCAGCACTCTCCATTTTTTTTTTTGCAGGACCCTGGGAGTCTCACCATCTGTGCTGCTCTTCTCTGCAGAGCAGCCTGCACAGTCCTTCTGTCTATTTTCTTCTGGGGGTGAGCAGTGCCCATGCTCTGGGTGGAAAGGGGAGAGTGTGTTTTATAGTTCAGATTGGCCTGGAACTTTAGGATGTGTTCCCCAAATACCTAGAAACTTGGAGCTAGGTCTCACCGAGGGAATGACCCAGCCATACTCATCATTGTTGACCCCAATGATGCTGGGGACAGGTTGAAAATCAGTAGAAGTCAGAAGCTCCTGGGGGTGCCTGGGCAGGAAGACCCCATCTACCACACCGGGAATGATCTTGAAGGCCTGAGGGGGCATTCAAAGTCAGGAAGCACAGTCAGGTCCTAGAAAACTTCTGATGTCTTCTGAGTGCTTTTCGCTCGTGTCTGGCCAGGAAACTCATAACTGCCCCAGGAAATCCTATTCCTGGTTTATTACAAGCAAGCCTCATTTCCAGAATACCTGGGTGAAGTAACTGTTCCAGGGAGTTGGAAGGGCACCCAAACCATTTGCCCCACAGCTATCATTCCTCCTTCTTCCACACCCATGCTCATTAAGCCTGACCTTGGTAATAGCCAGCATTTCCTCTTCACTCTTGCCTCGAAGGCAGCTCATCAGAGCCTCTGACTCTACCTGCCCACAGTCAGACAGGTTGGCCACCATCTGTAAAGGCACCAAAAAGTGCTGGATCATCCCTTCAGGCAGGGAGTGGGAATGTTGCCCAAGGTCTCAGCTGGGTGCAGGCACCACCAGTATCTCAAAGGTGTGGATTGTTGCAGGTGTGAAATTGTTCTACCCTCCCTGAACCTCAGGTGTCAGCCACAGGAGCCATCACACATGCTCAGGTGGTTCAGGGTACAGCTTTACAGATCATAGAACATATTCAACCACTGTGAGGTAGAGGTCTGTGGATTCTGACCCTTAAACCCCTCGCAATCCCTGGATAGGTAGCACTTCCCAAGGTTCCTCAACTGTTGTTGTCTTCAGTGAAGAAAGAGGAGCAGTGGCTCTGAAGGTGAGGGATGAGGCAGTGGGTCTGGGCTTTGGTGGTTGAGGGCACTCACTGTAGAAACCGCTTCAGATGAGCTGGCAATGAGGCTGGGCAGCAGGGCCACCCCACTCTCCATGATGGCACCATGAAAGAGTCCTTGGGACATTGGAGACACCACATGTGAGGACACACTAGTGCCACCTGCAGACTCGCCAAATATGGTGACCCGATCAGGGTTGCCTCCAAAGTGAGCGATATTCTGCTGGACCCAGCGTAGGGCGGCCACTTGGTCCAGGTAGCCCCAGTTGCCAGTGGCATACTGGTCTCCAGTGCTGAGAAATGCAAGGATAATGATCACTGGATGGTCCTCTGTCTACTCAGCCTCCGTTGACCAATCCAGCCCTAAGCTCACCTGAAGAAGCCCAGAATACCTAGGCGGTACTGGATAGTGACCACCACCACGTCCTCAGTGGTTGCCAGAATAGAACCATCGTACATGGATGCCATGCCTATAACTAGCGCACCACCATGGATCCATACCATCACCTGGAAAATCAAGAGATATACCACATGGGTCCCACCCAGCCCAAACCCCTCCTGGGCTGCCTTATAGGTTAAACACTGCTTTGAATTATGCAGCTACCCACACAGACAAAACTCCAGCAGACCTCATGACCTGGGCCATGGGTCAATGACCCAAGTTCAATCAGGAAGACCAGATCTCCCATTGGTACGTGATACATCCCATGTACCAAAACCTGGATCTATTACATCCTGAATCTTCTGCAAGTTGGAAAGAAAAGGGGTGTCTACTTAGAATTTCCAAGAAACATTAATCAAAATTCTTCTCCACAAGAGCTCAAAGACAATCCATTGCTGTCATTTTTTTGTGTGACCTTAGTGTAGTCCTTGCACGAAGGGGGTCTCCTGGGAACAACTTGGTTGAATGAGAATGGTGTCCATCCAATGGCCACAGTCTCTGACCTCTGGGAGTAGCCAGGGCCCTTTGAACACAAGCTTAAGTCAGGGCCCACTGGTATAAGAGGCCTTCTTGGATCTGACAGTAAGAGGTTTCTCCTCATTGTTCATACTGCAGTAGGGCCCAAGCTGATCTTGTTCCTTCTAACCTTATAGAACAAATGTACTCCCATTCCCCTGTCAATCACATCCTGACACTCACAGGAAGGTTAGAGCCCTCATGGGCATGAGCAGGCGTGAAGATGTTGAGATACAGGCAGTCTTCTGACATGGGGATGGAAGGCAGGGTCAGATTCAACAGCTTCAGAGACTGTGTGTTCATTGCTTTGGCATCCTGCAGACACCTGGTGATCAACCATGGTAGACAGTCAACCCAGCGTGTGAACAGTGGTCAAAAGCAGACTTGGGTTCAGGTTTCTTCCATGAAACCCCCTCAGGGTCCCTGTTACACCTGATGTCCTGTTCATACTGGATTTTTCTCTAAAGCCCCTTCCCACTGAGTTCAAGGCCTCTGGCTGGGGTGGGAGGGGGAAGCCAGGATGGAGTCCAGACCTCCAGGGAGGCCTCAGGGTTGTTAAGCACTTGCATCCAACTCCTTCTGAGGCTGGGCAATCATGACTCTAGGGGGACTGTCTGGGAAACACTGGCTGCCTGTGTTGACATTCACCACTTATCCCTGTCCCCAGTCAGGTCTGGAACAGTATAGATGACCCCAAATGGGTAGTGCCTGAATGGATGGAGTTTAATTTCCCATAGAACATAGTAGAACAATCCACAGACCAAGTCTAGACTCTCAGGGAATCACATCCCTCCCACAGAGTCTTCAGTACATACACCTTTTACTTGGCTACTGGCACCTGGCCCTGTGGGCTGGCATAGAGAATGCAGGGTGTGGGTCCCAAAGGAGCCACTACTGCTTCCCTCCTCAGGAATCTAGAGTATGTACTGCTGGAGTCAGGGTATTTTATAGGTTCTTAGAGCCAATCTGACCTTCTCCCAGACACACGTGCGTACTCTGGTTGCAGAGAACATCTGGCATAACATGAGCTGAGACAAATTATCTCTGCAACCAATGTTCTCTGGGTGCCAAGGCCAAACACAGGAGCCTAGGGAAGTTAGCAACTTCTACCCTCTGAGCCTCAGCACTCTCACTGGAAGAATGAATGTGAGAATCATCCCAATGCAGAGGAAAACTGCCTGGGCAGTGTAGATGAAGGAGACACAGCAGCCTGGCCCAGGGCTCGGAGTACCCATCCCCACCCCAGMCCTGAGGTTTCCCAGACCCCAGGAGAGCTTACATGGCYGGGTGGGAGGTCCCATCCCTCACACCACTCCAAGGGTCAGGGGGCTCAGGGGCTGCAAAGCGCAGTGGTCCTACAGGTGGCTTGGCAAAGGGAATTCCCAGGAAGGTGTGGACCTCCGCATCGGTGCCCTTCACATGGACGAGGCTGCCCCGCACCTGCCCGGTGTGGGTGGTTCGAATAGGGCTGACTGAGTCCTGGCCTGTGGGCAGAGAGATGCACTTCAGACTTTGGTCTGCTTAATCAGCTGTTGGCCTATAGTACTGTGGCCTGGTTGGCCTTCCTTAGCTCAATCTTGTGGACGGACCCTGATCTGCAAACAATGGCTTCACAAACTTTCTGCCTGTCCCACTGTGACCCTCCACAATTACCTCCTGATTCTATTCTGATGACATGGCCAGAATTAATTTATCCATAGACACAGAGAGCAGACTGAGGGTATGTAGGGTAGGGTTAGGTTCACATTGAGGGAAAGAGGTGAACTCTGAGTGTAAACTAAAAACCACTTATGTGTGTCATTGAATGGGTAGAATGTATGGTGCAGTAATTATTTTTCAAATTTGTTATTAAAAATCTCTTTGCAAATTATGAAACTGATATGAATTTTTTATTGTTGTTACTGGGGATTAAACCCAGGGGCACGTAACAACTAAGCCAAATGCCAGGCCCTTTTTATATTTTACTTAGAGGCAGTGTCTCACTGAATTGCTTAGGGCCTCTTTAAGTTGCTGAGGCTGGCTTTGAACTCGCTATCCTCCTGCCTTAGCTTCTCGAGCCACTGGGATTACAGGTGTACCACTGTGCCTGGCTTAAATCTTGATTTTTTTTTAGAAAAGACCCTATATTATTACCATTCTAATAAATTAGGACATTTGAATAGATATTTAATTATAATGAAAACTGACACTGTTGTGGAAATACCTTTATCTATTTACCTATCTCTGTGTATATCATATAAATATTTGTATCAATCTTCCTCTTCTTTTTTTTTTTTCAGTAGGAACTCATGAAAAATTTACCCATGATGTGATAGCTGGGGTTGCTTTCGAACAATGGTGCAAAGGACAGGGTGCATTTCAGATAATCTAGGTTGTGCCAGTCCAGATACTCATTGAAAGTGGCTGATGGGCACATTGGGTTCATTAACTTTCCTCTCTGGCTCATATGAGGCTCATCCCTCTGTGCTGTGTAGCTCTTGGGCAACCACATCTCACTCTGTGCCTTAGGGTACAGGGAGGTGTTCAGTAAGGCCACTGTCCCCCGATATTGTTGCAACCTACAGAGGCTCCCACCTCTTGCACCTTCCCTTCATAGTCTCAAGTTCTGCCTCTGCAGAAATTGGCAGGTCTGAGCCAGGTTCCATTAGAAAAAACAAAAGACAAGAACAACCTCAGGGATCTCCTTCTGCCCTGCCCAGGGTGGATCCTAATGCATCAATATGTGTCAACTGCTGTGACTGAGGCTAGGCGTGGCAGCCACGTAAAGGCTCCAGAGAGGACAATGTAGTATCATCTTTCTGCTATTGTTTGGATGTGGTTTGTTCACCAGAGATTCATGTGCTGGAAGTTTGGTTCTCAGTGTGGCAACATTGAGGAGGTGGGACTATAAAGGGATGGGGTGTAATAGAAGGTGATTGGATCATGGCTAGGGTTAGATCTCACAGGAGAGCATTAATTCTCTGGAAAGTGAGAATGGATTGTTCTAACAGGGCAGCCTGGCCACTCTCCGGTCTCTTGCTTTGCTCCTGCCGTATGATCTATCTCATAAACACTCCTGCTATATCATGTCTTTGCCATTTTATGACATAGCTACAAGGCCCTCTCCAGAGGTAGACCAGAGCCAGGCAAAGTGATGCACTCCAGTAATACCAGAGGCTTGGGAGGTTGAGGCAGGAGTTTTGTGTGTTTGAGACCAGGTTCAGTAACTTGGCATGAATCTGTATCAAAGTGAAAAGTAAAGGGGCTTGGGATTTTGCTCAGTGGCAGATCACCTTTAGGGTCCATCCCCACTAGTGTCAACCACAACAGACCAAAAACCAAAAACAGAGGCAGACCAGARAGGGCCACCTGATCTTGATTTTTAGTATCTAAAACTGTGTGCAAAATAACTATATTTTATTTATAATTACCTTGTGTTGGCTATTTTGTTATAGCAACACAAAGCAGTCTGAGACAGAAAATTACTACCAAGAGTGGGGTTGTTACTAAAACAATACCTGAAACTATGGAAGTGGCTTTGGAACTAATTAACAGCCAGAGATTGGAGGAGTTTGTAGGAGCAGTCAAGAAAAGTTTTGTGTTGCTGGGTGTGATAGCACAGTTGTAATATCAGCAGTTCAGGAGGCTGAGGCAGGAGAATTGCAAGTTCAAAGCCAGCTCCAGAACCAGCAACTTAGTGAAGCCCTAAACAACTTAGTGAGATGCTATATCAAAATAAAAAATAAAAAGGATGGGGATATGGCTCAGTGGTTAAGTGTCCCTGGGGTTATACCCCCTATACAAAACAGAAGAAGGAGAAGGAGAAGAGGAAAAAGGAGGAAGAAGAGGAAGAGGAGAAAGAGAAGTCTTAAACTGCTCTAAATGAAGAACTATCAGTAATCCTTGTGAAAGTTCAGATAACAAAGAGACTAGGAAGGAGCTAGAACCTCCTAGGGATTGGTTAAGTGGTCATCTTCAGAATGCTGATAGCAATGTGCTTAGTAAAGGCCATCCTAAGGAGGATTCAGAAGGAAGTGGGAACCATCTGTGGAAATTAGAAGAAAGGCTCCCTTTGATCACTGCAAACACTTGACTACATTGTATTCATGCATAAAGATGTTATGAAAGGGCAAATATAACATTGATGACCTAGAAGATTCAGAGAACAACATTTCTGAACAAAATATAGAAGAAGCTGTGTGGTTATTTTTGGTCGTTTTAAGTGAGATTTGCAATGATAGTTTGCAAATGAAAGCATACCTTAAATTATTGGAAATTTCATACCTGCTCACCCAAAGAGCAAAATGAGAGATTGGGTAAGAATATAGGGGATGGGAAAGAGAGTACCATGGGTGGGAAGGAGCTAGGCTCTCTGCTTCAAAACCATGGGAGAGAAGGCCTGAGGCCTACACATAATCTTCCAGGTGCCCTTGCATCAAGAGCCCCAAAGACCATGGAAGGAGCCCCAGCATTGTCCCAGGATTCTGCTCCTTGTTTCCTAGCAAAATGCTCTGGGTCTCTCCAACCATGGTTCATGAAAGCCCAGGCATGACTCCTGATACTGCTCCAAAGGGAGCAAACAACAGACCTTGGTAATGCCCAAGCGGAGCTATTTTTTAAGTGCAGAGAATCCAAGGGCTCTGCTGTCTCAACAGCCTCCCCTGGGGTTTCAAAGGAAAGTTCTGGAGGCCCTGCTTATTGGAGTGGAGTCACGGCAAAGACTGCCTAGTGAGGCCATGAGAGTGGGACCACTGCTCTTGAGACCCCAGAAGAGCCACTAGCAGTGTGCAATGCCAGCCTAGGAAATCCACAGGCCATGGCATGCAGCCCAGGAGAGCAGCCATGTAGGCTGCAACCAGCATTACTCCAGGGGTGGGGCTGCCCAAGGCCCTGGGGACCAGTACCCTGCCCTGTTTCTAGGGGGCTGGACTTGGAGTTTGGGGATCTAGTGTCTTATTTGGTTGTTTTAGGACTTGCTGGGAGTCTGGGAGCCCTTTCTACTTGCTATTCCTCATTTTTGCCACAGGACTATCTGCCCTGCCTGAGCCTGTTTCAAGGCTGTATCCTGAAACCATGGTAACTTGTTGCAAGTCATTTGACTTGAGTTTCAGATGGGACTTGGGACTTTGCACTTTGTAGCCATGCTGGTAAGGTTTCAGCCTTTGAGGACTATAGGCACGGAATGACTGCATTTTGCATTGAAAGAAGGACGTGAACCTTGTGGGGCGGGGGCAGAATGGTATGGTTTGGATGTGGTTTGCCCCCCAAAGGATCCTATCATGGATGACTGGTCCCCAGTGAGGTGGTACCTTTCAGAAGTAGGACCCAGTGGATGGCTCAGGACTGCTCTGTGAAAGGATTAATGCTAGTCTTTCAGAGTGGATTATTAGATCTCATAAGAGTGGCTTAATTCCTTTGAGGTGAGTGTAAGTTTTTATAATAGAGCAAGTCGGCCTCTTCCCTGTCTTAAAGCTTCCTCTCTCACCATGTGATCTCTCTCCTACAAAGTCCTACTATATMATGCCATTGCCATGCTATGACATAGCTGAAAGTCCCTCACCAAGATCTCAGAGAGGGTCACCTGAGCAGAGATTTTCAGGCTTTAAAACTGTGAGCTAAATAAATCCATTTCCTTTATACATCATCCAGTGTCAGGTCAGTTATACTGTTTTAGCACCCCAAATCAAACTAAGATATGTTCCAAGTCAAAAGGCACACTCCTCATGCACCTGTCTATTTAGTCTTCCTCTCTCACCATGTGATCTTTCTCCCACAAAGTCCTATGATGTCATGCCATTACCATGTTATGACATAGCTGAATGTCGTTAACTAAGACCAAACCAGAGAGGATCACCTGGGCAGAGCTAAATAAATCTATTTCCTTTTTACATCATCCAGCTTTGGGTCAGTAATACTGTTTTATCACCCCAGATCGAACTAAGATATGTTCCAAGTCAAAAGGCACATGCATGTCTGTAATCCCAGCGACTCAGGAGGCTGAGGCCAACCTCAGAAAATTAGCAAAGCCCTAAGCAACTTAGTGAGATGCTGTATCAAAATATAATGAAAAGGGCTGGGGGACATGGCTCAGTGGTAAAGCAACCTGGAGTTTCACTCAGTACGCAAAAGGGGGCATGGGTGGTACGCACCTCTTCCCTAACAGGCTGCCTACACAGAATTCCTTACTGGGTGAAATTTCTTTTCATGTAATGTACACAGACAGCATCCCAGATGCCTCAGGTGTGTGTTGTGACAGCCATGGACAAAGTCTGCTAAAACATCCCTGATCAGAGACTTGTTAAGTCAATAGCACATCATCCTTTCCACTCGATGGTGGAGGAAGCTGCACCATGTAAGAGTGTGAGGTGACTCCTGTGTTAGGAAGGGGAAAGCATGGTGCCCCAGAGGGTGAGTTGTGGTCATGTAGATGGAGACCAGGCATGAGAAAAAAATCTCTCTCTCTCTCTCTCTCTCTCTCTCTCTCTCTCTCTCTCTCTCTCACACACACACACACACACACACACAACATCCTGGACATTGTGTGTAAGTCCCTGAGACCTTGATGGTTCCTGTGAAGGAGCCAGGACTGGTGGGGACAGAAGAGGGTGGAACCCAAATCTGTGCTCCCCTGTGACTTGTTAATGATTATTTCTGAATGAGTGAAGCCAAGACAATATTTATAATGGCAGCCATCAGTGAAATTGGGCAGCTCTCCTAGTCTAGAAAGTCCTAGTGACTTTTGAGAGGAGCCTAGTCAACAGCAGGGAGATGGGAAAGATCCTCTGTGGGTGTGTCATGGGGGAGAGGTGAGTGTGGACTCCTCCTGGGCACAGTGGGGAGGAGTAGCAGGAGATAAGGGGGCTGCACATTAGAAGGCTTTTATGGAGAAGATCAAGCCAAGGACAGCCCAGGCATCCTGCCAACCTTACCTAACATCTGATGAGGGCCTGGATGCTACCTGTAGGCTCAGAGCCCTTCACCTTTGCCCTAATGGCCAAACCATTCCCCTTTTTTGGTCAGGTGTGTAAGGTGAGAGGAACCCAGTGATATCCCAGATCCCCTTTAGGATACAGTGCCTGGGACCTTCTGTATTTCTCCCAAAGACAAATAACCTTGCTTGGAGCCTCTTTGAGAGGGCCAGGTCACCCCTCTGACCAAAGGCATGACCTAGAGCCAAATGGCAGCAGGAAGGTGTTCCTAAGTGGCTGTTTTCCCCATTGGCAGCTGGAGCTCCAGCACAGCCCAGCACTCAGTGTCCTGAATGCCCGTCCAGAGACAGGGAAGTGGGCCCTGCTCTTCTGGGTTCCTCAGTCTCCCCTCTCCCCTCATACCTTGCCTTCTCCTTGGTGTTAGTGACAGGAATTCTGACCCTGTCTGCACTTCAGGGGAGTCACCCTGGGCATTAGATGGAGCTCAGGGTGGCTGCACATTCCTCTCTGACCTGTCCTCTATCATTTCCACCAGCCTACCCTCCTGTAGCCTCAGTCTCTTCCTCTACACCATTTGGCTGATAGGAACACAGAGTCTGACACCCCAATCCCTATGTGAGCCTTACCCTGACCTTGGAGGAGGAGCAGCAGGAGCCCACAGGCCACAATGCCCAGCTTCCCATGAAGTTTGTGCAGCCACATTGTCAGCTCCCAGGGCTGTTTCTGTGCTGCTGGGGTTTCTCTGCTTCAGAGGTCAGCACAGAGAAGGACCTGGGCCCAGGTGGAGTTTGGACCCTGCAGGGAGGAGGCAGAGCAATGAGAGGTGTCCTGCAAGCTGGGCACTGCGGGAGAGCCACTTTGAACTCCAGAGATCACAGAGGCATTGGGTACCAGACAGGACAGGGCTGCACTCCTCTGTTAGCTCCCAAGGTGCTGCACTGCCGTTGTAGCTGCTCTGAGATCTCAGGAACCCATTCCTCACCCCTGGAGTTACTAATTTATTGTCCTAGCAGCCATTGGCCCTTTTAGTCTACTTTTTTTCTTTTCCTTTTCTTGATTCAAACTTTTCCATCCAAAGTTTTCCTCCCGGTTCATATGTTGACAAGAACAATATAGACAAGGAAAAATTCATTTGAGGCTCATGGTTTCAGAGTTCTCAGTCCATAGAGAGCAGGTCCATTGCTTAGGTCTCAAGGAGAGGCTGAATATCACGGTGGAAGGGTGTAGTGGAGGAGAGCTGCTCAAGATATCATACCAGGGGCTGGGGATGTGGCTCAAGCGGTACCACGCTCGCCTGGCATGCGTGTGGCCTGGGTTCGATCCTCAGCACCACATACAAAACAAAGATGCTGTGTCCGCCGATAACTATAAAATAAATATCAAAATTCTCTCTCTCTCTCTCTCTCTCTCTCTCTCTCTCTCTCTCTCCCCCTCTCTCTCTCTTTCTTAAAAAAAAAAAAGACATCATACCAGGAAGCAGAGAGAGAGAGAGAGAGAGAGTGAGCTCCACTCAAAAAAGACAAAATATATACCACTAGGCCCACCCCAGTGACCCACCTCCTCCAGCTCCACCCTCCATGGCTACAGTTACCATCCAGTGAACCCTCATGGGGGATTAATCAATGACTGGGTTAAGGCTCTCATAACCTGATCATGTTACCCCTAAACTTTCTGGTATTGTCTCACACATGAGCTTTGGGGGACACCTTCTCTCTAAACCATAACACTGGCCCATGAGGGTGCTGGGGTGGAGAGGAGGGAACAGTGGGCTGTAATTGGAGGAGCCAGGAGGGCTTCTCTGAGGGGACACAAAATGAAGATCCCCACAGGTGAGAAATGATGACCTTGGGGGATGAGGGGACT